ATCTCGAGGAGACCTGTAGTCTGAATTCAGAGATGGGGGGCAGAAATTCTTAAAACTGACAGCTGTGCTCTGTACTATCCTATTCCAGCACAGTGTTTACATGTTAACGTGTGTTAAATAAATGAATGAACAATCTGCTGGGCTTCCTTCAAATAGCTATGTATCTGAACAACGTTAAGAGCATGCACAAATGACCTTGAAAAATCATTGTACTTTCATTCAAGGGCTTCCATCAACAGCTATTTGTCAGGGTTGGGAGCATTGCCAAGTATTTTGTCCCACGCTTTAGAAAATAGGGTGAAGCTTTATCCACCAGTATGACCAGTATGACCAACTCTACATTGAGCTGTGTAATGTTGAATGGAGATGAGTGCAACTAAGAGTCCTGTGTAAAATCCCAGGAGTAGAATTCTGTCATCTGTCCTGAGTTCCGCTCTTAGGCTTCTCAGGTACAAAGGGTGTTGATAGCCCTTGTACTTTGCTAAAAGTCAGTTTCAGTGCTAGCTTTTCAAAAGCTGGCCTTGCATGGCAATACTGTTTCCAGCATGTTGCCTTCTTAATTAGATTTGGCTCACTGGGTTAAGGCTTTGGTGGTAGAGAAAGAAGCTGAGGAGCTGGTAGGACTGTCATTTTAAATCCTGCACCAGTCCTGAAATCTGTAGCTGAAGTGGAGATAGGTCTGTTTTATCACAGTTGCACCTGATATGTGTGGGTCAGTACACTTTGGAATCTGACATACTGGTGAGTCAAAACTTTTTTTTAAGAGTGCAGCTACATTGTTTGACCTCTTGTTACTGCATGCTTTAGTTTGAGATGAAGGAAATGTCTATTGGCATCTGTACATTGTAGAAGAATCTGGTTGTTTTGTTGTCTGTTGCATCCTTTTGGAAGGAAAGCTGTAGAAGTGCACCTATTGGGTTCTGTAAGCAAGTAGTACTGTCTTCAGTTTCCTTTTGTTGGCTTCATAGCTGTTCTGGTTTTTTGATGATATATGCCCTAATTCTCTCCAAACTCACCTCAGCATCTATGAGTAATGCTGTTGAATTATTTAAGACTCTTAAGAGGTTTAATGTGGCTGCTGGAAAGGTTACCATGAGGTTACCTGCTTGTCCTGTGGAACTTTGTCTGTTCAGTATGTAAGTGTTTGTTAGAATTGTTCACCAAATGAGAAGAAGAATGTCAAGTTAAGTCTTGTATCTCATAATCTTGTGTTCCCAGATGTCTCAGTTTCTGTACCTTGCTGGTCAGGTTCTTGGTTTTACACAGGAGTCCAGACACCGGGAGCCTGATTCTGTTATAACTGCTAATCTGTGAGAATAAGAATTATTTGTGGGGGTCTTCCAGCCTGCTAGAAAACTTAAGTTCTTTCAAAACTTCATTTGTTTCTTCTTTTAGTAGCTAATTAACTTAATGAGCATAATTCTATAAAAATGTACTTTATCAGCAGTAAGAGTTCAAAGGATAAAATTAATAAAAGTGAAAAATAAAAAAAAGTTAAATTAACACAGTTTTGTACTCCCTGGTCATTCCACTAACTGTTTTAGCACTTAGAGCTGTCATTGTTAGAGATTGCATGAAAACCATGAGAAATGCATCATCACAAATATTCTGTTGTCTTCAACTACTCAATTCTTAAATATCAAGCCTGCACTGAGCTATCAGTGTGTATAATGCTAATACTGCTTGTGGTGCAGATTCAGCTTTGCTGCCTGTTATTGAAAGGAACTGTTTCTATTTAACTTTTAGTAAAATTATTTTTCTTTACAAATACTCTTCCAATATATTAAGTAAAAGATGGACTTTCAAGCAAATTTATAGGAAGCTTTATAAAAGAGGCTGTAGGTAAATATGTGTGTATAAGTGTGTATGTGTATACACACATATATTTTTATATATGCATGTATATATATTCTCCTTCTTCCACTTCTTTGCTCTCCCTAGTTTTTAGTTTTTCCTAGAGAAACTTTTCTGCTTTAGGATCAAATATTTGTAATTTTTCTAATTGTGGTCCCTGAACATGAACCGTGAATCAGTAGCGTACCACCTTCTATTTACAGGTAATCTTTTCTGTGCAGTCTGATGCTTTGGTCCTGTGAGTAAAAGAAAAATGTTGATCATGGGCTCCTGTATTGAAACATATTCACACACCAGGAGCTAGTAGTGTAGCTGTGTGTTTGGCACTTAAAATGAATGGTTTGGTTTGGTTTGTGGGTTTGGTTTTTTGGTTTTGGTTGGGGTTTTTTTTGTTTTGTTTTTGTTTTGTTTTTTAAAGTCTTTGATTTGGTAGGATCATGGCTTCTGTTCCTCAGAAATGCACACTTCCTGGTTGTAGCAGTGGCTGGCTTCACAGTACAGAAAGTCAGACAGATACATACCACATTTCTGACTTTAGAAGAAATAAAATGTTTAACTTTTTGATCCAGGAGCATTCAAGAGAGTATCAGCTCTGTGTTCTTCCTAGTACAGGTTTTTCTTAATGCAGCATTTTTCCTTGAGCAAAATTCTTTTCAGAAGATAGCTGAAAGACAAAGACTATGTTTTAACTGAAAAAGTTTAAAGCACTTTTTTCAAATAACCTTTTCTAGGTTTTGCTTGTATTGAAAGGTGATAATGTGGTTATCATTCATAACTAGGTATTATCATAACCTATCCTGCTGGTATTTACATCATTGGTTTTCGTATATATTTCTTCAGGTTTACTGTATTTGTAATGTATAAATTTAATATTTTTGTTTTCCAAGCAATAAGGGCACCATCATATTGTAGACATTTCACAGTACTTTTGAAATGGTTTGGAGCAATTACTTGCTCCAAGTAATTGGACCATTGTAACCACATTGGTTATAATGTTCTTGCTGATAGATGAATTGATGAATGGCTTTTTTTACAGTAATGGAGAGAACTGCTCTAAATCTTTTCTTCATTTGTAGGTTAAAAAGTTCTCTCCCTTCTCCCTGAGTCTTTTTTTTTTTTTTTAAGTAACTTTGCAATTTGCTACAATTAATGAAATTCATATTTTGTCCTTGCAGTGGTCAGGATAATCACAGAAAGGCTGAGGTTGGAAGAGATGTCTTGATATCATCTAATAAAAAACCCTGTTTAAGCAGGGTCAGCTAGAACAGGTTGCCAATGACTATGTCCAGTCAGGTCTTGAATATCTCCACAGATGGAGACTGTACAGCCTCTGTGGGCAAGCTTTTTTAGTGTTTAACCATTATCACAGTAAAAAGGTGTTTTCTTGTGTTCAGATGGAATTTGATGTATTTTGATTTGTGCCTGTTGCCTCTTGTCCTGTCACTGGGCGCTGCCAATAAAAGTCTGGCTCCATCTTCACTTTCTTCCATCAGATATCTATATGCATTGATAAGGTCCCCACTGAAACTTATCTTCTCCAGGCTGACCAGTCCCAGCTCTCTCAGCCTCTCCTCATATGAAGAATGCTCCAGCCCCGTATCAACTTCATGGCCCTTTGCTGAACTTGCTCCAGTATGTCTGTCTTTCTTGCGCTGAGGAGGTGAGAACTGGGCTCAGCAGTCCAGATGTGGCCTTACCAGTGCTGAGTAGAGGGGAAGAACCACCTCCCTTGGTGTGGTTTCAACACTCCTCCTAATGCAGCCCAGGTTAGTATTGGCCCTCTTTATCATGAGGGTGCATTGCTGGCACATGTTCAACTTGCTGTCATAGAGGACCCCAAAGTCCTTCTCTGCTGAGTGGCTTTCCAGCCAGTTAGCCTGCAATTTTACAGCGTCTCCAGGGCCCTGTGAATGGCAGCACAGCCATCTGGTCTATCACCCACTCCATCCAGTTTTGTATCAGTAGGTGGAGCAACCCTGGCTTTGTCTAGCCAAGGCTCTGCAAACTCCAAAGAATGGAGGCATCTCCCACGATCTACCTGGTGACCTATCCTAGGGCTACACTACACACCAGGGGAAGAAGGTTCCCCCAATGTCCTACTTGGATCTCTAAAGCTACATCTTGTGTCTGTTTCTCCTTATTGCATCTTCTGACACTGCCTGAGAAAGGTTTGGCTCTGACTGCCCTTCAGACAGCTGAGAGCTGCTGTTACATCCCCCTTGTTCTTCCCCTCATCAGACTAACCAAAACCATCTCTCCTTATCATAGGCCCCAGGACCCTGCTGTCTTGGTAGCTCTGCACTGGCTCCTTTATAGTTTTATGAACTAGCTCACTTCTTGCATACTCCTTGTAGGGAGTGTGCAGACTGGACACAGTAGGACCCACCTGTTGGTGGGTGTAGCCTCCTTGGGGCCAAGGGTGAAGGCGTGACATATTGCCCCTTGATTTGCTAGCTGTGCTCCCCCTAACAAAGCCCAGGTTTTGGTTTGCTAAATTCAGGAGGGCCGTACACTATTCCTTTCTGTGAAGCTTCAACATGTTTATTTTTTTATAAGGTCAGTGTTAATTTAAAGAAATACATGTTCCTTAATACAATGTGAACTAAACTCTAGTTACCAATGGTTTTGTTTAGTGTTCTTACTCTAGTCCTAGCTCATTTTCTGCTGATATTCTGTAGAGGTAACTGCAGAGAATTTTTTTACCAGCATATATAATTATACTGTGGGATTTATATTTTGTGATCTTTGTATCTTTGAATTGCACTTCTCAATTATCTCCTCTTGAAGAGTTAACTGCATACACAAATTTCAGTGTTCTTGGGGATTTATGTACAGTTGCTTGTAAGCATGCTTTACAGAGGCTGACAGGGATTGTGTGCTTCCTGCAATCTGGCTCTGTGCAAGCTGGGGAATATCGGTGGAGGCATGAGACTGTTTGTGCTGTGGTTGTTAGCTGGAGCAAACTTTTGCTTCCAGCCAGTTACCAAATGTAGAGATAGAATTTAGAAGTCTTGTACAAGCTTGCCATCTGTATAATTATGTGGCTATTAAGGAATGGATGGAAGTGGAATGCTCTCAAATTATTGACTGTGATGATAAGGCATGGTTAGTACTGATGCTGATGCAATTTTCTTTCTTGCCAACAGAGTTTCAGAAGCAGGAAGGCATGAAGTCCCATCAGAAAAACATGCAGCTCTATGACACACCCTATGAACCAGAAGGCAGTGGTGTGGAATCGGATTCTGAAAGTGTGGTGAGTCACCGTTTACAAGAAAGCAAATTGCCACAGGATGATGACAGGCCTGCAGATGAGTATGATCAGCCGTGGGAGTGGAACAAAGTCACCATCCCAGCTCTGGCAGGTAGGATTCCTAGAGCCCAACCAGGAAAATCTCTCAGACTCATAGCATAGTTACTTCCCTTTGGGAGCATTCAAGTTTTTTCTGCTTTTTCAGTGTGTGTGTGGGGAGAAATCACTGAAAAGCTAATGTGGATAGTCTCAAATATTTACCTGTTGCAGAAATGTGGAACATTGCACTTTTTGTTTGGTGCTTCAGCTGACCTGTTGTCAACCATCTCAGCACTTGGTTCATGTTAGTAAAACTTCTGTGTCTCCCACTCCTTGCCCCTACCCCTGTTTTAATGGACGTGATGTAGATAGTGTTTATTGTTGAGGGGCTCTATGATGAGGGAGTTACTTTGCAAGGCCCTTAAATTGTGGGGTACTTCTTAAACGGGCAGGACAAAAAATAGCTGTGTAACATGCATGCAGTACCATGCTTCTACTCAGTGATGAGTTTCTTGGTATTTGGAGTATTTTCATTATAATTGCAAGCATTTCTATGGATATGTAGAACTTGTTTTAGGATTAGTCCTTTTGAACTGCTGAAGTTCTCCCACATCAGAACTTGTTAGTCAGGGAGATCTGACACAAACTGTTTTCTGTCTCTCTGAATGTCTGTGCTTGGTGTTGGTTACACTGCTCTTTTTCTTCCTGTCTGTTGCTTTGCGGAAATGGCTGAGGGGGGCTTCATGCAGTGAGGATGTGATTCTAGAGGCCAAGGCTTTTTCTTTCATTGAGCTTCATACAGAGCCCAGCAAAGCCCAGCTGTATCAGTTGGTCTGACCATGTTCCGGGATGCTCTTGTGGGGTGCTAGAGTCATACATGCTCTATGATTTTCCCCTCAATGACATGTTCTCATGAAAAGCATTGTCTAGGAGCAGGGTTGTTCTCCTTCCTTTTTATGAGTCAGCTTGGCAGAAAGCTTGGAAAGGAGAGCTATGTGTGGTGATGACTGTGGGGATGAGGAGGGAAGAAAACAGATGTGGCTCTGGAAGGGAGCATGGAAGAAACCTGAGAGCAATGATTAGTAGTCAGTGTGCATTTACCCTGGGTAAATCCTGCTTGACAAACCTGTTTGTTTTCTGTGTTGAAACTACTAGATCTGTTAATGGAAGGAGAGCAGTAGGTGTCATCTATGTTGACTTTAGCCTTCAGCATGTTGTGCTGTGGCACCAGTTCTGTTATCTGGTCTGGAATGCTGTAGCCTAGGTGGGTGGACTACTAGCTGCATGAAAACCTGTCCGGGTCATTGACCTCAAAGGGTAGGGCTTAGTGATTCATACTCTTCCTGGAGTGTGGTTACAAGTGTAATTCCTCAGGGGATCTGTTCTGGAACCCTTCCTGTTCAGCATCTTTATCAGTAACCCAGAGGAGGAGGAGAGGAAATGCACCTCTTGAAGTCTGGAATGAAATCAAATGCAGGGAGAGTGTATGTGTATGTAGAGCTGCCATTCAGAGGGACCTGGGCAGGCTGGAGAAATGGGCTGACAATAAGCTTACAAAATCCAACCAGGACAAACTCAAAGACCTGCATCTGGAGCAGACTAACCCCTTGCAATTATATGGACAGAGGACTGGCTGACTTGCTGTGTTACAGCTTTGCTGGAAGGGGCTTAAGGAGTCCTGGGGGAAAGTGGACTAAATGTGGCTAGCAGTGCTCCCGGGCAGTGATGAAGGCTAGCAGCATCCTGGCCTGTGTGAACAGGAGCATAGCCAGAAGATCAAGCAAAGTGACTGTTCTTCTTTACTTCACATTTCTTGGAAAACATGTTTAATGCTGTGTCCAGTATTCTGATGCAAGAAGGATGTTAATAAATGTTGATGTCAGCAGAGAGCCACCAAAATGACAGGAAACTGTAGCACATAACTTGTGAGGAGACACTGAGAGAACTGGGCTTGCTTAGCCTGGAGAAGAGAAAGCTTTGGGGGGATGTAATAGCAACTTTCCAATGCCTATGAGGAGATCTTCAAGAAGATGGAGCCAGGTTCTTCACAAATGAGCAGGTGTATGGTGGGAAGATGAGAGATAAGTTGAATCAGGAGAGGTTCTGACTCAATATGGGGAAATTTTTTTTCCCTGCAAGGACAGTTGTCATGGTTTAAACCCAGTTGGCAACTGAGCACCACGCAGCCGCTCGCTCACTCCCCCACACACCCCGTGGGATGGGGGAGAGAATCGGAAGGGTAAAAGTGAGAAAACTCGTGGGTTGAGATAAAAACAGTTTAATAGGTAGAGCAAAAGTCGCGCACACAAGCAAAGCAAAACAAAGGAATTAATTCACTACTTCCCATCAGCAGGTGGGTGTTCAGCCATCTCCAGGAAAGCAGGGCTCCCTCACATGTAACGGTTACTTGGGAAGACAAATGCCACCACTCCAAACGTCCCCCCCTTCCTTCTTCTTCCTCCAGCTTTATATACTGAGCATGACGTCACATGGTATAGAATATCCCGTTGGCCAGTTGGGGTCAGCTGTCCTGGCTGTGCCCCCTCCCAGCTTCTTGTGCCCCTCCAGCCTTCTCAGTCGGTAGAGCATGGGAAGTTGGAAAGTCCTTGACTAGTATAAACACTACCTAGCAACAACTAAAAACATCCATGTGTTATCAACATTGTTCTCACCCTAAACCCAAAACACAGTACTGTACCAGCTACTAGGAAGGAAATTAACTCTATCCCTGCTGAAACCAGGACAG